CCGCTTACACAAACAGGCAAGGCGCCGGCGCCACGCACCGCACATGTGGCGACGGTGTGGCGGGAGCGGTACCTGGTGATCTTCGGCGGCGGGTCGGTGGCGCACTGCTTCGACGACGTGCATGTGCTAGACACCGCCACCCTGGAATGGAGCCAGCCGGAGGTGGAGGGGCCCGTGCCGCCACCCCGCGCAGGTCAGGGCCGGTGTGCGTGTGTGAGGGTGTGATGGAGGTGCTGTGGCGCGGCGTGTGTCGGGGTCAGCGTGGGAATGGCGAGTGGGAGGATGGCACACAGGTCCCTCCTCATCCCTTGCACACCGCCGTCACTGTAGGGCACAGGGGCCTCCCGTCATCCCCTTCCCGGGTCACACACGCCCTCCTCCCCCTTTCCTCCCCTCCGCAAAGGCCACGCGGCGGCGGTGCTGGGCAGCACGTGGTACATCGTGGGCGGCGGCAACAACGCCGCCGGCTGCGCCGACATGTACGCGCTGGACCTGGGGGTCCTGGGGCGGGGCGAGCCGCTGGTGTGGACGCTGGTCGGCAACACGCCGCCGTCCTCCGCCATCGCCAGCGAGGGCCTCAGGTGGGGAGGGGATTGGGGGAGGGAGGGGGGGGGGAGGAGGGGGTGATGACCAGGTGGAGAGCGGGTGTGTGAGCGGGCGGCCCTGGATGGACGCCGAGCGGGCGTGCTTGAGATCCTTGGTTGCGCTCCCGCGATCGCAATGTTTTGAGTTGTGCTGTCCGTTTGTATCTCTTGTTGTCACACGCACAAGAGCAGGTCGACGTCTCCTTTCAACCCCCCCACCACTCCCTGCCCCCCACCCCTCCCCAGCCTGCTGTCGGTGCCCATGGCGGGCTGCCTGGTGTCCTTTGGCGGCTACAACGGAAAGTACCACAACTCGGTGCACGTCTACCGCCCGGAGGGCTACGTCCTGGTGAAGGCGGCCTCGGCGGAGGCGCGGGGCGCGGAGCGCGGCGCGCTGCCAGCGGGGGAGGGTGCGTGGCTGCTCGGCTGCGCGATGTGCCCATGGGGCTGCCTTGTGACACCCGTGGGGATGGCGTGATGGGGTGCTGGCTGTGTGGGGCTGGGGTGGGTTTGGTGCCGCGCCGCGGCACCTCGCCAGTGCCTGCGCGACCACTGGCACATGCTCTCAGCGGGCCGCGGCATCCTCCTCCAGCAGGGCTCCGCGCGGGCCTGGACGTGGGCACCCGGTCCTCGGCCCAGCAGCCGGAAGACGGCGAGATCGAGCGCAAGAACAGGCGCGCAGCGGGATGGACGAGGGTGTCGTGGGGGGGCGGTGCCTGCCTGCCGCCGCCGCCGCCGTCGCTCCGCAGCACCACGAGTCTGGGTGCTCCAGCCGGGCGCGACGGCCCATCGTGGCCGGCCTGCCTGCCGCCTGCCCGGCTCTCGGACACCCCTCCTCCCCCCTCTGGCCCACGCAGCGAGGCGGCGGTGGCCAGGCGGGAGGCCGTGGTCGCGCGGGAGAGCACGGCGCAGGAGCTGGTGCTGCTGAGGCGCCAGCTGGCGACCACGCAGGCCGCCCTGGCGGACGCA